TATTTATATATATATATATATAAAATTTCTTTTGTCTTTATTCAGATACCTAAAAACCCAAAATTTTATATTAATGAGATGGATGAATATAGAAGCAAGAAAAATTTAGAAGACCTCGTCGATCATGAAGATTATTACGTGACACACAATGGATTTTTAGAGTAAGAACGTTTATTAAGATGAATTATTCTATTTCGATGCACAATAAGCAAAATAAAAAGGAATATGTTTAATAGTTTCTGAGCAATAAAACCGATTTCGTTCAAATTTGGTATTTATTTAACCGATTCTCAAATTTAGTAAATATTTAACCGATTTCGTTCAAATTTAGTATTTCGTTACTTGGAATTACATAGTTTTAAATATTGTTTAGAAAACTATCAGTGTACTAAACTGGTAAGATCCTATAACGAGGAGAACGACCTGGTGAAATGTTTTAGTGAAGGCCAAAGCCCACCCTGTGCTGTCATGCCAATGATGTGTAGGAATATATTGCACAAATGCGTGTAATACATAATCGTAAATACATAACCTTAAAATTTTAACCATATGCTGACCCACGTTATCAAAATAATCATTTTCATGGAATGCCGTTTTCTCAAAGTATAAATCACATTGAATTACTATTTAAAAAAGACCGTTGGATTAATGTAATAGTATTGTTAAATTATAACAATTAGTTTATTTTGCTTCATATAGCTTTAGAACCGCATAAAAAAATAGGAATATATTTATATTTTTATATTTTGACGAAAAATCTATTTTTTAAAGTTTTAAATTTTTTAAAATTAATATCATATTCTAAGTACATGAGTCACTGTATACAACATAGAATCAAAATTAATTAGTATGCAATAACTCAATTACATTAGTCTTGTTTTATTTTTTTGAAAAATATTTGATCTTAATGATGATAAATAAATCGCCTCAAAGTTCTAACGCCAATACAATTTAAGATTTTTCTGATTATGTAACATCATTTTAGATATTTGCAACATTAATACTAACACTAACACCATGTAACACTAATGCGGATTAGTTTTATCAAAAAGTCCCCCACGAAGGCAAGTTTAAATCCAATGCTTGATCTAGGAATTCACTTAACTTCTGGATTGGAATTGCGAAAATGGGCCAGCTGTAGAACTCCGATTATAAAATAAAATATTAAATAATTTAGAAGCTGTTGATTTCTTAGAACGCTTCCTATTGGGATTTAAATTCATCATTAAAAAACGTCACTGACTTTTTCTATTAAAGTTAAAAAGCAAACATTTTTAGAATATCGATTAAAATTATCATAATTAACAAAATAAAGAATCTATTTTCCTTTTATAAATACGAGTTTCTTTATGAAGACTGTTTTCTTGTAATTCTAAATAATGTTTTAATTTTTTAATTGAAGATATTTTAATGGACCATTTTTCATGGATTCTAACCTTCCTTGTTACACCCTCAATAATCGGGCAATTGTTAATAGAAAACCTAAAAAGGGAGAATTTCACAAATACCTAAGAAAGTCACGTAAGTACATATTTTTTCCCTTCTTTTCTGACTATTCTTTTCGTACCTATTTTGTTTTGTAATATATATATATATATATGGGTCATTCTCACGAAAACTGTCATTTTTCAGTTCATAAAATCCCAAAAAAGTAAAGTGAATAAAAAGCTCTGAAACTTTTTATACTAATAGAAATATGTAATGGCACTATAAAGAAAGTATATATCCTATAAATTATACTTAATATTTAAATTAATTAATTTTTTAAATAATTAATTTATAATTAATTAATTTATAATAATTAATAATTAATTAATTAATTTAATAAATAAATTAATTAATTTAATAAATTAATTTATTAATTTTTTAATTTATTTTTCAAATTAATTAATAAGTAAATTAATTATTTTCACTATTTAAAAAGTGAGGGAATGACACTAATAGTGAGGGAATGATATTTTATTTTAATACATGTTTTTATCTAAGTTACATCTACCTAAAGTTTGAAAATGATAACATACTAAGTATATCTAATATTTATTATAATTTAGTCTTATATATTTAATAGTTTTTACAGGTTTGGGAAATAAAATTGGCTGGCACGATTGAACAAAAAAAAATTTAATAATATACTCATCTTGAATCATTCCCTCACTTCAGCGTCATTCCCTCACTTTATACACTAGTGAGGGAATGACGAATTCAATAAAATTTAAAAATAACAGTTAGGCCTAATTAATTTCTGAAGTCAATCACATACAATTATATTCATACAAGAAAGCAACATATAATTATCCACTTTCTCGATGAAGTTGTATTTTATTTTACTCTAAAAAATGACATGAGGGAATGACAAATGTAAAAAATTTTACCTGGTTTGAGAAAGATGGTTAAGAAACAATCAATCTTCTTTAAGTTGAAGATGGAAACATACTGCAATTTTGTTCTATGATGCCAGTTGTTAACTTCTGTTAAGTTTTTATTAAAATATTTTTATTCTAAGAAGATTGCAGGTGATAAGAACATTGTTGTGAGGGAATGACGCGAAACACTGGGGACAAAGTTTAAAATAGTGCTATGTTAATATTTTTATCAGAAATTAATGTTAAAATTGATTTTCTGAATTCTATATTTCAGTATTCTGAAATAAAAAACACGAATTTGTAAAAAAAAAAATTTTATTTCAGAAACAATTTTTTTCTTTTTTTAAATCAGCAGTGGGGACAAGTGAGGGAATGACATATTGGTATATTTTAATTACCTAAAATAAATAAAAAATAAAAATTGATAATTTTATTTTTGTTCTTTTGTTAGCTTGCATTCTGAAGGACACTTTCCCTGAATTTTTTTTTAGCTGAATTTTTTTTTGAATTGAAAGCTGTAAAACAAACATAAAATGACTGTTTTTGTGAGAATGACCCATATATATATAAATATACATAATAACAGGGCTACATTCCTGTTATCATTGTTGTATTCATTTGCAATAATACAGTCAAAAGGCATAATACGTTCTATAAATGTTTATTTAAAGATAGGCTGGTGGTTATAACAGTTCACATCCCCACTCCACAAGGGAGGGGGTGTGGACGACACTACGGATGGTTCCGGCGGATGTTTATTGGAATATGTTATTCAGCAAGAGACATGCGAAAACCATCGGTCCTGCATTAAATACTACAGAGAATGATGTAATTAGGTTCCAGTCGTACATACCTTTGTAACTATACGCATTATGGAAAATCATTTAATGCTTCCTAATATGGAAGTGAAAGAGGGACAAGATTCTAAAAATAACTCCTCCTTCGAAATATAAATCTAATTATAATTCAATGGTATGTTTTCAGCCATGAATTCCCAAAATAGAATATCTCTACGCTTACTCTTTAACAAAGACATTTTATGAAACCGAAGAGTTTTAATTCTTCTATTAATACAAAAGTATTTATAATTTTTGTATTACATTCCCCCCAAAAAAAATTTTGTAAGCCAAAATAAAAAATTTAGAATACTTGAAATGTCTAAAATTTAGGTTGGTACAACTGTTCCTTTTCCCTACTACAAATAATATTTTTTCAATTATACGTAAAAAAAAACAACAATTATTTACAATGACAAAACTATAAAAAACATGATAATGCAATTTATCTGTTTAGCAACTAGACAGAAAGAAAAATGAAACATGTTTATATAACTATTCTACTAAAATTTTCAAAACTTTTTCACACAGAAATATACAAAATTTTTATGCAAATTAACTGGACAACATGTGTTATTTATTCAGAATTTAATTTCAACATTTGTGGGTTGTGATATTCCTAAGCTTTGATGCATGTACTTTTCAAAATTTTGTTTACTTAAATTTCTTTTTATTTTTGTTATCAGTTTCTTGGTCATTCTTTCTTTTTTCTTTTCTTTTCATTTTTGTTACCCTTTTTTTATTTTTTCGTCGATATTAATCTATAATGTATGCACCCATTACCTAGATCAATCTTCGAATCATTTGAAATTTTTGGATATTCTTTCTTTTTATTTTTTCAACGTTTACTTTTACTGAAACATCTTTAACTTTTATTTTTTCGACGTTTACTTTTACTGAAATATCTTTAACTTTTATTTTTTCACCATCTTTAACCTTAACATTTTGAGAATTTTGCTGTCTTATGTGCAAAGATAAGTTGTCACTTTTAGAATTAGCAAAGATGATCAGTCTCTTACCAAATAGAGTAACAACTGGCCCGACACACTCAATAAACAAACAAAAACCTTTGCAAGTTTGCAACCCTACTAAAGCATATGGTAAATCAGTATCAAGTATAAATAGGGTGACCAGACGTGCCCGATTTCCGGGGATTGTCCCCGGCGAGGACCTCGTGTCCCCGGTCGGTTTGCGTCCCCAGTTTTGTCCCCGGTTATAAAATTAAGAAATTTTGTGTAAAATATTTGATAAAAATATGTTATAAGCAATTTTTATTTTCTCAAAAATTTTCATACAAATTAATGTAAGCATTGAAAATTAAATGTAAACTAGTTTTTGAGAACGCATTATAACTTATACTACAGAAATTTTGGAACACATAACTTTAATATCTAGTTATGTTTACATTTTTACTAGGCTGTACGCCAGACAAGTTTATATAAGTAAAGAAGTTTAAAGCAAGACGTAACATGAATATTAGTTGCTGCTTTTAAGGGGGTTCGGTACCTCCTATGTTGACAATGTTAAAATGGCATATTTCGATGTACCTTTTTAAAAAAAGTATCGTAGTTAGAGCTTTGAAATTTTTTTTGTGTATGTAATAGATATTCTAGATTATACTGAAGTGAACTTTTTTTAATTTAGTGAATTAAAAGAAATTTAAAAAAAA